CGGCTTAGGCACAATTCTAACAAATTTGCACTAGCAAAAGCCTAAAAAATATTCTTATAATCATAGAATAAACTCTAAAGTTTTAAAGATAATTGTAGTATCCATGTTAAGTTATGCACTAGTTGTATGTTCAATCCTATTTATTTTGATATGTATTCAATTGCTACTTTTATATTTAAATGAGATGGTGAATGGATTAATGACAAATTCTATCAATATATGCTATAACTAGCATAAATGGTCATTGAATAGCTTTTTTTTTTCTTAACTTGGAGTTTTTGTTGGCAACAATGAGTTATTTCAACCAAAGGCACAACTTCAATAAAAAGAAGTTTAATTTAACCATTGATCTTGGTTAATAAAGTGCTTCATGTCCAATTAGACAAGCCAAATAGTTCGTTGACTCATATATATATATATATATATATATATATATATATAATATCTATATATATATATGAACATTGGAGAAGATCAAGACTATGCTCTTCAATTTGTTATAGTTTTATAGATCATTTTAGGTTTGACCACCCATCACAAGGGGTTCTGTCACAAGTTTATAGACTTATGATTTTTTTAGTATGAATACATAGCCATATTGATATGATATTGGCTTATTAGTGAATTATGGTCAAACTTTGGATTTGAGTTTCATAGAGAGCTTGAGGTTGAGGGCATATGAGTGACAGCTATGTGAAAACAATAAGCCACGTGTTTTTGTTAAAAGGGGGAATTTAGTTTTGTTTTTTTTTTAGATTTTAGAGGGGTATTTAAAGAGGTTTAGAGTTATATGTTGTACAAAAGACCCTCTCATTTTGATATTTATTTAAAATTACTCATCATCAAAACAATTACAAAAAATTTGGGTAGGCGTGGAGGGAAAAGAACTCCAAGTTTTAATCTTTTGAGTATCTATTATCTAGTCACACTTGTTCATTATGATCATCATTAGAGAAGGCAAGAGAATTTATGCTTTTTTTGTTATGGTAATATCATACAGTCTTAAGAATCTTTTTAGAAAATTACTAATGTAATAAAATCAAAAATTAATGTGGAATTTATTAAATATTTTAAGTGAATTATATATTTCTATGTAATTACGATATCTTATAAACTTTAAAAAAAGTTGTTGTGCATCCAAATTTAAATAGTTTAAGGGTCAAACCAATCATCAAACTAATGTGCACAAGTGCTTTTGATAACCTAGTAGTATACCATAGGGACATACAATACACTAGAAATAGGGCTATGATGTAGGATGATATAAATATAATAGGAAATGTCTGCCCAATTCAACAGGATCACTAAAATTTCTTTCATTTCTTAAGATTTTTCTTAAGTCAGATTACATCATGAGTGCTTAGACAAATATATTTTACTAGTTTGTGTTAACTTTCTTTTTAGTTCTGATATTGTTGAGAGATTGAAAGTGTTGCTTTCAACTTCCCTTATGATTCAATCATTCTCAACTTTATTATATGTAATATTGATAAGACTGCACATTCTTTTTTATGTTTTAAACCATTCATAATTCATTTTGTTAAAAAATTTGTTAGTTTTAACTCACTTCATTAATTTATCTTACTTTATATGTTAATTTAGTCCACATCCACATGTGAGGTCAGCTACAACCATTTTTTTGCATTCTAAGTTTGAAGTTCTAGAAGTTTTAGCAACATTATTGAATAATCTTACCCCCTTTCTAACTTTTTGAAATGTGGAGAAATGCTTGTTGAGACAACTCACCATATCATAAAAGTTGTGTATCAGCAGAGGGCATAAATCATTAAGGCTAAATACACTTTTCATTGCCATCCATCAACTTAGTAATGAAGGGTTGGCTTCAAAAGTCTAATGTGAGGAAATGGATGATGAAATTTTCCGGCTTGTTGGAGAGAAACCCAAGCGACTAGGTAAGGTGGAGGAAATGTTATAATAGGAAAAATCTTAAAGTTTAAAATAAAGAGTAAAGCTATGAAATTCCCTCTATCAAACAATTCTTTCACCCTAACTTATAAAAAAACCTGAACTACCATAGGCTATTGAATGGTTTTTACATTATTATTGCCAAAAATTTAAATGTTCCATTGAATGGGATTAATACAGTCTGTTTTATCATGTTATATTTTTTAAACATCTTGGAGTCTTAAAGAATTCCCATTTGCAATGATGCATTGATACTTCATTACAAACAATAGTGCAATGTCCAACATATATTGGATACAAACACATGCGTGACATGTGTCAGACTTATATCAGACACATTTGTCGCATGTCCAATTTTAAAAGATAGAAAGAATTTGAGCTCGTATGTCCTTAAAAATTTAATTTAAATTTAATATATAGAATCAAAATACAAAACAAATTATTAAATTGTAATGACTTATGTTGTGTCAAATAACTTATATTTATTTTTATAGGCAATATTTTAAAAGGTTATTGGTGATTATATTTCTTTTATTTTTATTAAATTTTAATTACTTTTTTATAGTACTT